ATATATATATATATATATATATATATATATATATCCCAGTTCTCTAAGTCTCTGGTGGAATCTCCATCTTTGTATTTATTTTCTTGAGCATATTCACCATTATTTTAAGGCCCACAGTTGATAAAGCCAATATTTAGATCACTATGAATCTATTACCGTATTCTGTCTTTTTCTCTTGGTCCTATCTTAATATGCCTGGCAAATTTGCAATGAGTGGTGAACATTAGAATACAAAATGTGAACACTATCTGGCTGAACCTTCAACTTCTGCAAGGTAACTGAGCAGGAGCAAATAAACTTAATCCAAATAGGGATTGAGTTGTTTCGAGGCTGGATTTCAATCTTTGAGAGGCCTGATCTACTTCTAATATGCCTTGCTCCTAGAACACAGTCCTTTAGGGGTCAAACTGAAAGCCTGAATGTTCACCAGGAACCCACCTCCTAGAAGACCCTGAATCTAACCGCTAACCCATAACCCTGTGAGCCTGCCAAGAGCTCCATTTAGCTCTGCAACCTTTGGGCTGTGGTTTTTGCTTAGTTTCCATTGACCTCAGTCACTTATGATAGCTCAGGTTGATAACATTATGTCTGTGCTCCCCTCCTCTGTGGCCCCTCCGGTCTTGGCCCCTCAAGCCCTGAATGTCTTCGTAGGACTGATCCCATTTTTGTCTTCCCAGATTGCCGAAAGTTCTGCTTATATTCTTTCCCCTTAGCAGACCCTTTTGCTCAGTTTCTCAAGCTCAGAACCCATGCCACTTATAAATCAGCATACCCTGTGAGATGAAAAGCAGCACTGACTGTCAGGCTCACCTTAATGAGTTTTTCTTCCCTCCAGAATCATTGCTTCTAAAGATAGGATAAATTGGTAGCTCTCCAGTGCCTTCGAACACATGTGTTAAGGTATTTTTTCCTGTTCCCCCACCCCCTGCCCAGTCTTTAGGTGTCTTTTTGTTGTTGTTACCATGGTAATTTTTAAAATTTTTTTAATTGGTTTATTTCTTTAATACTCCTTTTCCAGTTGTTCTCAGTAAGAAGTCAGCTGTACTAGAGGAGAGCTCACCCTGGCCTTTTGGCTTCTGTATCATTGCATATGATAGATATTCCCTTTTTCCCTTCCTTCTTGAAGACTCAAATAAATTACCAGCTCCCCTTGGAGCCATCCCTGCCACCCCTTTCAATTTCCTGCCATCCAGGGGTTATTCATGAAGAGCTTCCTCCTCTTGGCTCCCAATGCCTCAGCCATGTCCACACTGCCATGCCACTACTTGGCCTTGGCATGATTTGCCAGCGAAGAGTTCCAGGCCAGCAATCCATAGCATCCTACAAATGGGAATATCATATTCGGCCCATGCTGTATGTTTCCAATGTTAAAGTCATTGATAACAGCTAAGAGTCAGGACACAAACAATCTTAACTGTAGCAGCTCTTAAGAAAAACTAAAAATCTGGGCTCTGTGAACCTAAATTCTATATAACAATGACTAGCTGTGTAAGAGCTGTTTCCCTTTCATGGGGTAATGACTCACCAGTTCTCAGTCCCTGCCACTCAGGTTGTAACCCAGCACCTGACTCATTTAAATTACTTACCAACTACTACTGGCATTTGAGTTTGTAATCCTGGTCTCTGTGCATGTCTCACCACTAGTCGGAGAGCTCCATATGAACAGTCTGTCTTTTCGTCTCTCTCCCAATCCCATCCCTGGCATGGCAGAGATGGTGAACCCTTATTTGTAGACATACCACTACAAAAATGCTATGTAAGTATTTTTAAGGCTGTGAAACTATTTTGGAGGATTCTGTAGTGGCAGATACGTGACATTATACATTTGTCAAAACCCACAGAACTGCACCACACAAAGAATGCACTCTAATGTAAACTATGGACTTTAGCTAAAAATATTTTAATCTTGGTTCATCAGTTGTAACATATATACCATACTAGTGCAAGATGTTAATGATAGGGGAAGCCGTGAGGTGATATGCATGTGAACTCTGTATTTTCTACGTAATTTTTCTGTCAACCTAAAACTGCCTTAAAAATAAAGTCTATTAGAAATGGTAGATAAGTGCAAATGCTATTAATCAGAGTGATAACAGAGGGCAACTAAATCTGGCAAAATAAGTTTCTCCCATGGGATTCAGATCAGGACCAGGTCAAGAGCAGAAATATTTACCAGAGGATGGATATCCATCTATACCACCACTTAATTTTTTTTAATGTTTTATTTTATTTTTGAGAGAGAGAGCACTGAGGGGGACAGAGAGAGAGAGAGAGAGAGAACAGGGGAGGGGTAGAGAGAGAAGGAGGCACAGAAGCCAAAGCAGGCTCTAGGCTCCGAGCTGTCAGCACAGAGCCCAATGCGGGGCTCGAACTCACGAACCGTGAGACCATGACCTGAGCTGAAGTTGCATGTTTAACTGACTGAGCCACCTAGGTGCCCCTGTACCACCACTTTTAGGGACAGCAGAAAATGAGCCCCTGCTGTCTGGGGTTATAGGTGGGGAGTGACCAAAACACACTTAAAGTGATAGCTGGACTGGCTCACACACTCTTGGTCAGGAGTGATGGAAGGACAGGAGGAAGTTCAAATAATAGCCTACAGAGGTAAACCAAGTTGACCCCCCAAATCAACCCCAAAGGCCTGCAGGAGAGCAACAAGACCCCCATTTTCTACTCTCTGGGACCTGGACCCAGCCAACTCTATGGTGCCATGAAGGAGTTTCCAGGTCTGATAATCCGTCTTATGTTTCGTATTCAGCACAACAGGGGACTTCACCTGCCTCCACTCTGCTCACAAGTTCTAATGTGCTAATTAGTTTTTTCCACAGCACCCCCCCCCCACCACCTTGTTTTCCCCTGCATCGGTGTTACTTATCAAGCTCCTAAAGGGAAAAGAGAAGCATAGGCTTGTAGACTGTAAGCTCCAGGAGAGCAGGGAACAGAGTCGTTTCATTCACTGAAATATGTAGGTATGTCACTGATGATTGTTGAGTGAGCGAATATAGAATCCTACAAAATGTGCAGCTTCAAATGACAAGGTAGCAGAGGGGGACCATGGGGCCTCTGTTGTGAAGGGTATCATATAAGCCACTTCACAACCAAACATGCAGGTATTTTCAAGGACCCATCCACATCCGTGCATCCTCTGCCCCATGCCATCCCATCTCTCTTCGGGCTGCATGGCTGCATGGCTGCGGGCATGCTCAATGAGCCCCCTGCTGGGAGCCGTGGGCACTGCGAGGTGACCCGTTAACTCTTGCCTGCTCCCACCTGGGGAAAAGGATAAGGAAAAGGTCAGCACCAGCTCTGCTACAAGATCTCTTTGCGTATGTCGAGCTGGATGGTGACCTGGACACTCTCCGAGTGGAATCTCCATGGAAAATAAAAGTATGCTTTGTCTTTTCGATGAATGGATTTGGTAAAATGTTTTCTTACTTTTTCCTAGACATCGCCTGGTGGTATTACCAGTATCAGAGAGGTAAAAAAGTTTAAACTAACTTGACTACTTTGGTCATATTACTTTCAAAAGAAGAGCTTCTTTTTTTAACGTTTATTATTATTATTATTTTTTTTTTTTTTTTTTTTTTTTGAGAGACAGAGAGAGACAGTGTGAGCAGGGGAGGGGCAGAGAAAGAGGGAGACACAGAATCCGAAGCAGGCTCCAGGCTCCAGGCTCCAAGCCAGCAGCCCAGAGCCCAACGCAGGGGCTTGAACCCATGAACCATGAGATCATGACCTGAACCAAAGTCGGATGCCCAACCGACTAAGCCACCCAGGTGCCTCTGAAAGAAGAGTTTCTTAATCAAATAGATTTTGTAATTAGTCTACTTATTCACCAACTTTCTTTGCCCCTTGTTAGCAAACACCACCTACATAGAAACAGCTGGAAACTTTCTTTTAGAGACAAGTTATAGGAAGAGGTTTGCTCCTAATAAGAAACGGATATGTTTTTCTCTAATGGGTAACAAGATAATATGTAAAAGCTCAGAGCCAGTCTGTGACTCAAGCTTGGTCACTGCTTGGAATAAATGACCTGTATTTCTAAGTTGTCTTTTTCCCATGGCCTTTACCTCTTAATCAAATCAACATTTTCTGAGGCAGTTTTTCTTGTTACTTTATCTCTTTTAAATTTATTATATTTATTTCCTATAATCAATTTTAAGCCCTTTGTGAAACAAAGTGGAATGTGTTTAAATAAGTAGTAAGGAGAGAAAAGGTGGTTGACTGGGTGGTGAGTGAAGTAAGAAAAAAGGTAGTTATGTGGGAGGTAAGCGGGCAGAGATCAGGAAGGGAAAAGTCAAATGCCTGTGGGGCCAGGAAGGTAGCATAAATGAATGAAGTGAGCCACAGGCGTACAGGTGGAGTGCTAGAGGCTCTGGCTGCTCAGAGGGAACAGCCACCGCTCAGATTTCATAAACTATTTCCTTGTGAGAATTTGAGACTAAAAGTTGTTAGATAATCCCATTTTCTAAGAGAAATAAAATATCCGAATTTGTTGATCTCTCATCTTTCAATAGCGGCAGTTAATTCCAAAAACAAAAACGAAAACAAAACCCATCACATTTTATAAACGAAACAAGACCTATTTGGGGGCTGCATTCTATGTCAAGGGCCACCATTTTATAACCTTGAAAACAGATAGGTGATTATTAAGTCCAACCCAGAGACCCCACGATGAAGAGACTATTTTCTAGTGCAGGGAGAAGGAAGTCATCATGGCCATGGTTTTTGGCCTTGGCTGTGGTCATGGTCACAGAACTAACAGAGGAGATTCACTAGGGAGGAGACTAAAGGCTTGGGTCCTCTTACAACTCATAACCTAAGGGTATGACCTGTACAGAGCTTGTTAGGAGCATAGCTCCTAATATTGCAAACTTTGTCACATTGGTCACAAACCAATTTGCAGTTTGTGCTTAAGGGAAAGGGAAGCCATTGTAGGGGCACATGGAAGCCAGATCTATAAAAGAGACCTGGGACTGGCTCGATTCTAGGTCCCATTCTGTCTTAGGCAAAGCCATCTAGTGATAGAGCTTGGAAGAGATCTCCTGTGCTAGAAGCACTTAACATGTCTCCATGTGTTTAAAATATCCAAGACCTAACTGAAAGTACAGAAAAATGTCATAATTAGGTGCATTTTCTTTTTCTGAGAGTCTAAAGCTTTTATCCCACACTCAGAAGAGTCCGTGACCTCAAAACAATAAAGACCACTTAATCTGAATCATCTTCTCCAACTTCTCCTTCAGTCTGGGAATTTCCTGCTGTAAATCCCCTCCCGTTGATTTTTTCTATCTTGCTTTACCCGCAGTAATAGGCAATTCATCAGTGTTTAAGATACTCATGGTTAGACAATCTCCTTGTCTGTTAAGACACCCATCTTTCCAATACTCCCTCCCCACCACACACAAGGTTGTAGTGGGACAACAGGCATGAAAACATTTTACAGATTAACAGTATTTTACCAACAGAAGGTATTCTAATTCTTGTTATGTAGTTACCACCATAGTACTAAATTTCTAGGTTAATTTTAATGTCTATCATCCAAACTCAATCTGACTTAGTAACTGACTCACCATTACTTTTAATAACAAAAATAATATCAAGCAACATTTCACCTTGCAGACTCTTAACAGAAGAAACTGTCAAAGAGGCTCCCCACCTGTTAGTTCTGTTTCCTCCTCCTCCAACCCGAGAGCTGGGCCTCCCTCCTTCCTTTACTGGGACCACCTGGGCAGCACCCAGGGACTCCCTGAGAGAGGGGGGTCAGTGCAACAGGAGGAATGTGAAAACCTCAGCAGCCCCTTCAGAAATTTCTTCAGAATATATTTATAGTGGCTGGAACTAGATGAAGGAGGGGAAGGGAGAGCAGGTATGAGGGAGAGGAATGCTGAGATGTGGGCCCTTCTAGAAGGTTGCCACAAGTGTAGACAACTCAGTGTTTTCCATTCACAGGTCATGACACATGAAGGTTAACACAATTTTACAAAGAAATAGATTAAAATTGAGAACAGAGTACATCTCACATCAATAGGGAAAAGTGTTTAAGGAATTTTTGCTTCAAAATATGTCATAAAATCTTTGTTTATATGTATGTGCATCCTGGAATGTGCTGCTAATTGTAGCTCTTATTATGAAATACATTAAAACAAAAAATTGAGAACCACTGGTTGAAGACACGCAGGCTACTTCCCAGCATCTTGAGCCCCAAAGACATGAATTTCCTTCAGTGACTGATGTTACCACAGCCTGACAATTAGAGGGTGATGAGAAGCAAAACCAAGCCAAAGCTTGGCAATCATCATCCCAATATTCAGATATTACGGAATCAAATACGGAAATTGATCCCTCTGCCCAGACAGCAAACAAATCATTTATTGATAAAGTCTAGTTCTCCCTTAATGAAGTGGGCTTAATATTTGATATTTCAGTAACTACTTAGTGCATTTATAATAGAGGAGATGGTAAGTAAGTGCAGCTTATGAATCAGAGAGATTCTCATAGACTTCCGCAAACAGACTTCCCTGATCTTGTGAAGAATTCAGTCACAGGAAGATTAATAGAAACAAGACAATCTTTCAAAAGAAGTCTTTTCAGCTTCCGGATAAGTTAAAGTGAGAATGGTATACTATATGCATGCAAAAATACATCATTTCTTCCAAAAAATACATTTCTGCCTTCCTTGTTTCCATTTTAATAGTTCACCTCTCTTCACACTTTTAAATATCTGTGTTTTTCAAAATAAAATTGCTATTAAATCTAACACTGGGAGATTCAAACCAATAATTTTATTTCTATTTTAAAATGAGCTAAAAATATAGGCAAGTATTCTGAATTAAATTTATGTGGGGGGGGGGCGTTGGAGGGGTGGATCAGCCCTTTGATTTACATAGAAATGCTGCAATGTTAAGGTAATTGCCACTTGTTAGCTACAAACAAAACAATAATTAAAGGCTCTGTAAGAATTAAAAAGAAATCGGTCACTTGCAGGTATGTCGTATAAACAGAGTATCTTATTTATATTAAATAATCTGCCCTACTCCCAAAAGGATAAGGTGATACCAGTTGCCCAGCACACAAGAAAGACAACCACTGGGAATTATTACCAAGTTCTTCTGCCTCTCCCTGGCACCTTCCCAAACATCCATTTCCTTAGGGAAGATGTCTAAGATGCAAACTCATTTGGAGAGTTTTCTTTTGTATTAAGATCACAGTCTCAAAAGGAAAAGTGACAATTGAAGAGAAAATCTGATAGCAAGAGCTTGGCACTGACTAGACAGATATACTCAGTGGAAAGCACTTGCTCACCCTGTTCTCTCAGAAACACAGCCTGCCCCCCACCCTCCGTGGTCATGGGATGTGATGTGGAGTGTGGCGCTCCCAGCAGCTTGCCCATCTCATCACTATTCTTGCCGGCCCAGATGTACAGTCGTTCAGTATATGGATTTGCTTATGTCTGCACGACAACAATGGACAGCGAAGGTTAGTCGACAATTGATTCTTGATTGGAATAAATTTATAGAAAGCATCTGGCAGGACCCAGAGGAAAACACTCATTTATCCTGCTGTGATGGTAAAGTGTGGAAACCTCCGCTTATTCAGTTTGTGGTCCTTCAGTAGGAGATGGGCAGATTTCTTGCTTTGACTGACCCTTTCTCAATAACTGGTGAAAAATTATATTACATTGTCATTCTTATTGGAGGAACAAACTGCTACTTCAGACAACTGTTTTTGGAACCCCTCAAACGCTTCAGAAGCTTTGATTTATATCAAGTAGTTCCCATTTAAGTCACTTGCCTATTATTTAAGAATGTCTAGTAGACATTACAAAACAACACTGTAAAATACACTCGTACTCTTAAATTAATATTTAACATGCCGTAATTGGAACTTTTTGCCAAATTGGGTTAGCCTTCATCTATTCGTACCAAATGGTAAGAGTTTGCTCTGCATTTTTAATAGAGTTGTTTCCCTTTGCTGTTTGAAAGCTGTTAATCATTCCACTCACTTACCTGTGTCTCTAGAATATTCACATGGTTCAGTGGGCAGCAAATTGAATGTGCAAAGAAGTTATTTTGAAAGAAAGGGAAAGTTTTCATTATGGACTTATTTTTAGCACTCCTGCCTTCATCTCCACTTGGAACGTGTTCATCTCCAGCCTGAAGCTCCCTCCCTGAGTAGTGCCTGACACCCCTGGGGTAATGACTGGACTGAGTGTGAGACAGAAGTGACTGGGTTGGGGGTGGGTGGGTGGTCAAGGCAGAAGGATCATCTGCAGTGTGACCCCAGCCCCGAATCCCTTATCCCAGGTCATAACACTACTCTTTTGACAGCCCAGACTGTGGTCTGACAAGTGGCCACTAAGGTCAGCCACTCCAATGCCATCTCCTCTGGTTCCAGATAAGATTGAAGATGAGCTGGAGATGACCATGGTTTGCCATCGGCCTGAGGGACTGGAGCAGCTGGAGGCCCAGACCAATTTCACCAAGAGGGAGCTGCAAGTTCTTTATCGAGGCTTCAAAAATGTAAGGCCCACAGGGCATCTGAAGGCCCAGGCAGGATTTCCCATCTGGAGCAAAGCTCTTCCAAATGTCAACAGGGCCCATCAGAGAGTTTTCCATGTGTGTAGTTGTAAAAGGAAGGCCAATTCTATAAAGACATGAGAGCAAGATCACCTGGCTAGAAAGAAAGACTTCAGGCAAGAATGAGGCAATCTCCATAGATGGGAAACTGGCCAATAGCCCAGGAACTTCACAACATGGCAGGCACAACCTTGGAGAATTCGCCTTGGCCCAGCTTCTAGCCTTAGTGTGACCCATTCACACTGTCAATATTGTCGGTGCCCCAGAACTGACGAGATTTAGGTCTGTGCTGAGCTCATAAAGACTGAAGTGTAAGCCTGAATGCCCATGTATTAATTTGCCATATTATTTCATAAATTAAACCTCATGACAGCCTTGTCAGAAGGTACTGTTAGCCCCATTTTACAGGTTAGGACATTGAGGATCAGACACTAATTCACCCAAAGTTGCAAAGCCTAGAAGAGGCTGAGCCAGGATCCAAACCCAGACCTTCCTAGGCCCAAATCCCAAGCTGTTTCTACCTCACAGTACCAATTCTCTGATGATGTCTCATCATTTTGCAAGGCAGCTTCATTCTTTTTTTTTTTTTTTAATTTTTTTTTTTCAACGTTTATTTATTTTTGGGACAGAGAGAGACAGAGCATGAACAGGGGAGGGGCAGAGAAAGAGGGAGACACAGAATCGGAAACAGGCTCCAGGCTCTGAGCCATCAGCCCAGAGCCCGACGCAGGGCTCAAACCCACGGACCGTGAGATCGTGACCTGGCTGAAGTCGGACGCTTAACCGACTGCGCCACCCAGGCGCCCCAGCAGCTTCATTCTTAAGGCAGGGCTATCTCCCGGCCACTCACCTGGAGGCACAGAAGTGTACAGGTGTTTGCCCAGTCCCTGTTCATCAGGGATGATGAGGAATCCTAAACCCCAAGGCTGGACCCAGTCTCCTCCTTCGGGGCCAGGCAGCCCTCCCTCCCACTGACTCTCTCCCCTTCACGCAGGAGTGTCCCAGCGGTGTGGTCAATGAAGAAACATTCAAGCAGATCTACGCTCAGTTTTTCCCTCATGGAGGTGAGTCTGATCTTGAAAAGATCCTTCCCAACTCCTTCTCTGGTGAGAAGCCTTTCTTCCTCCAGGTTCATGTTTCTTGTTATCTGTCTCCTCCTCAACAGCAGGGACAACTCAGAGTAAGATTCCCCTCCCTTATTACAAGATATGGAATTAGCTAAAGTTTTAGCAGAAAAGAGCTCTGAAATGGATTCTCTCCAAGAGAGGAGAAGAGATTAATAAAGCAATATCATAAAGTCTCATATCAGCTCTAGAAAGCAGGTACTGTATCATATCCGAGATGGACAACAACGTCTCAGAGAAGTTAGCAATTCACTCAAGATCAAGATCAAGATAACGCAGCCAGTAAGTAGCAGAGCAGGATTCTATCCCATAAGTGTCTGATGTAAAGCTCCGCCATGTTGGTTCCACCATTTTGCTACACACTCTCCATTCTTTTCCTTACAACAGCTGAGGGCAAGGTGAAACTTTGAAAAATAATTTTAATACCAGAGACTGTAGAAATAAATGAATCCAAAAAGATGTAGGGAACATAAAGCTGTGCATAGAAGTCCAGGTTAGTGAGTGTGCCAGGCCCACAGACACTCTGTTGCCGTGCCTGACTCCTGAAGGAAGTTGCTCTGCCTCCATGGGCCTAAGACATCAATGGCTCTTTCCCAAGGCTTCTATGAGTCACGTGCCATTTCACTTCCTGCCCCCAGGAGCTATCTCCTGCAGGATCCCTTCCCTGGGTCCTGATGAAATGGAGATCCAAGTGTCCCAAACATTTCTTGAGCTCTGTCTCTCATGGGCCTCTTCGGCACAGATGGGGCCCTCCTAAGTGTGGGACCCTGTACAGGGCCCCTCTGCAAGTTGGGGAGCAGCTTCACCCCATGAAGACCCCAGAACCACTGCTGTTGAATTCTGTTGAGCCACAGTTTATTGAGTTTTGACCATTTGGCAGGAATGGTGATGGTTAAGATGATGTGACTATGTGAAAAGTTTAACATACTTTTTCAAAAATTCCAAGAGATAGGTTTTGCTACATCCCTTTGTACAGAGACAGGAAAGAGGAGCTCAGAGAGGTTCTGCTAGATGCCTGTTCACACAGCTATATAGGGAGAGAGCTGCTAGCCAAGCCCACGTCTGTCTGCTCCCTAGTGAGTACTCACTCCATGGCATTGCACACCACTCAGAAGGGCGCCTTCTTCCCACAGTTGCCACGTCACTCACCCACCAAGAATTACCCATGTGAACCAGCAGGAGGGTCTTCCTCCGGGGATGGCTAGATGTAGGGGTGAGGGCTTGTCTTTGTCCTAAGAACTTTCCACCTAAAATCCAGGACAGCCACATGGGTCCCTGTTTACACAGTGGGCTTGCCCACACTGCCTTTCCTCCTTTCCATCACCCCAGCAGCACCCTCTTCTCTTCCTTATTGTTTCCAAGCATTCTCCCTTCCCTCTGTGAAGCCCCGGCTCCCGTCACCTGCCTTTCCTTCTGTGCCTTTCAGATGCCAGCATGTATGCCCATTACCTCTTCCACGCCTTCGACACCACCCAGACAGGCTCCGTGAAGTTCGAGGTATGCTTGTCTCAGAGTCCCGGGGTCCTCACCATCTCCTCTTCTAAACTGTGTGCTATTGATGGGACAGTCGGGTCCTCAGATGCTTCAGTCCGTCATCCATTTAACAAACATTTCCTGAAGATAGAGAAACAGCAGCTGCTGTTTCTCTGGGAACTCAGGGCCTCAGAGGGACTAAGGAAAAGAGTGTAACAGCTCACGTTCACACCGAGCTTACCACGAGACAGACTCTGTACTAGTGCTTTGCATGTATTAACTCATTTAATCCTCATAGTAACCCACAAGGTAGTGTTCTATTATTTATTGCCAGTTTACAGAAGAGGACGGTGAGGCAAAGAGAGATTGAGTGTTTTTTCCAAAGTCAAACAGCTAGGAAGAGGTAACAGAGGGATTTGAACTCCGGTGGTAGACTATACTGCCTTTCTGAGGCTAACTGCAGCTGTGGGATAGGGCAGTGCCACAGGAGGCTGTGTTTACCTGTGTCTGGAGATGTCAGCACATACTTTCTTCCTCAAGGACGCCCTGTCCCCCCAAAATGGGGCAGGGTAGGGAATGAAAGGGGGGCACTTTCGCTGAGCTTGGCCATGTCCTTCAGGGGACAGAGGACATGGGAGATACCACTATATAAAAGCAGTCATAGAGTCTGACCCAAAGACAGAGCTTCCTCCCACCCCAAGGCTTGGTGGTTAATGTCATTAATGCCTCTTTCATTTGTCAGGACTTTGTAACTGCTCTGTCGATTTTACTGAGAGGAACCGTCCATGAGAAGCTAAGGTGGACATTTAATTTGTATGACATCAATAAAGATGGATACATAAACAAAGAGGTAAGTGAGCTGAGGCCAGGGTCACGAAGGAGGCGCAATGAAGGCATCTAATTAAACAGTAAACAGCCCCGTCTGGAGAATGAAACTGTCTGAATGAGGAGGGATCTGCCTTGGGGCTAACAGAGAGATTCCTGGTCACCTTTGACCTACCCCATTGCCCCACCCTGCCCTGCCCCCAAGTACTCAAGAAAGGATTAAGCAGATTCATTTATTGTCACTGGGTCACATGTATTCAGTGTACATTCCAAAGGGAATGCAAATGATTTTTGTGTAGAGTTACTCTTCCTAGGAGAACTCACATTTCATAGGTTAATAGTCACAAATTAAAGCTAAAAGTTGGAGGGGCGCCTGGGTGGCTCAGTGGGTTGAGCGTCCGACTTCGGCTCGGGTCATGATCTCATGGTTTGTGGGATCGAGCCCCGCATCGGGCTCTGTGCTGGCAGCTTGGATCCTAGAGCCTGTTTTGGATTCTGTGTTTCCCTTTCTCTCTGCCCCTCCCCAGCTCGCGCTCTGTCTCAAAAATAAATAAACACTAAAAAAAAAAAAAGCTAAAAGTTGGAATGGTAAAATTGCAGACATCATCCAGAAGAGAGAAGGGAGATTGCAATAGGATCACACTGGCCACAATCTATTTTGCCTACTAATAAAACCACAGAAGGGGACGATGGCAAGTGCAGCCATCTCTTAACAAATCACAAATAATGTCTGAGTCTTCACTGCCTGACACTTTTAGAGCCACCTGTGGTGTCTAGCCAGTGAAATACCCACAGGTCTGTCTCAAAACTCACTTTGGTATCTACTGTATTTTGGTATCTCAGCTGAAGCTTGGACATAGCATCCTGTAACATCCCATTCCCTGAGCTTCTGAGTGCCAAGCCCAGTGCCTAGAGTAATAGCATCTCCAGGTCTCACCCCAGCCCTGCAAATTTCCCTCTGACATTCAGTCTTCATTCATTCAGTCGTGCATTTGCTCAACATATATTTGAGGGCTTATTAGGTGTTCTAGGTGCTGAAAATCAAGTGATGAATGATCCCCCACATGTGAAACCCTAATATCTACTAATAACAGATATGTTCAGTGGATTCCAAGAAATGCATGTAATGGGATAACAGATGGCCGTTTAAGATCATACAAAAGTATTAAGATGTAAAAATTCATCTTTTAAAATCGTATGTATAATATTATCTCAATTTTTCAAAGAATGTAATGCTTCTGTACATACTCAAATATGTGCTATGACAAAATATTCAAATACTACTTTACAAAATAGATAAAGAAAAGACCCTAAAATGGGACTTATAACACGGTTGTCAACCTTGGTTCAGCCATAATTCCATCACTTGAATAATCTCACTATCTCCATCTCCCTCTTCCTTGTTTGTAGACCAGACAATATTGTTCCCATTTATACCCATCAGACCTCTCTTGATGGCAGAATTAATAAAGAACCCCTTAAAAGAAAAAGAAAGTGTGGATAAGCAGCTTCCTAGAAAAGATAGCTGGATCTTCCCCCTGCCAATCATTTGGAGATAATCTCATCCAAATTATAGGCAATGAGAATCCTGAGACAGCAATCAAAATTGGTCTTAAATCCTTCCTCTTATAAAAGGTACTCAGGAAAGAAACCTATAACAATGCAGATATGAAGGACTTACAAAGCCTACATTTTAAAATAAACCCATGGGTAGAGACGTTTATTTCCTATTTCTGTTTCTTGGGAGGGTCTAAGACAATGACACCCCTCCAGCAATGAGGACACCTTGCACCCAGACCTTGGTGTCTGAATATCATTCTCCAGCTAAAGGAACCAGTCTCCTTCAAGAAGTGGGTGATTCCAGGACTGGGACCGAGAAAATGCAAGATGGGCCTGGAGTATCTTGTAGTGCTGGAAAGTACTGGGGTGCTTGAAAAAAGAGAAAGAAGAGGGAAAGAAGGAAAGAAAGAAAGAAAGAAAGAAAGAAAAGAAAAAGAAGAGAAAGAGGAAGGAAGGAAGGAAGGAAGGAAGGAAGGAAGGAAGTAGTGAGGGGGGAGAGAGGAAGGCTGGGACATGTCAAAAAGCTGCAGGAATAAGTCTGAAAGAGTTCCTAATCACCAAAACCAGAACAATTTGAGCAATATATCTAATAATGCTAGTGTTAGGGGTGCCAGAGTGGCTCAGTCAGTTGAGAGTCCCAACTCTGGTCGGCTCAGGTCACGATCCCAGAGTTGTGGGATCAGCCCACCGTCTTAGCTATGGCGTAGGTACTGCTTTGAATTCTCTCTCTCTCTCTCTCTCTCTCTCTCTCTCTCTCTGCCCCTCTCCTCTGCTTGCACATACACTCTATCTCTAAAAAAAAAAAACAAAAAAGTTAGTATTAGATTATAAGGTATAAAATAAAGAACACATCCATGAGTCCCTACTAAATTATATATATATATATATATATAATTATAGATTATATGTATTCAAATAATATGTGTTCAAATAAATAATAAATATGTACTCAAATAAATAATTGAATTCATAGATAAATAGGGGATAAGGGACAATTCTTCCTTAAAGAAGAATTCTAATTAATAAATAAAAAAGGAATAAAGGAAATACAAAGTCAGCATTAGGCAGACACCACAGTAATCATTTTTGCAGGCAAGATCCACTGAAAGAAACTAAGATCAGGGGAGGAACTTGATAGGCACCCCCTTTAATCAAATGATCAAGGTTAACATCACCATTAACACGATATATCAAGAACCACTTTGATAGGATGCACCAAGAAGGATATAATATCACTGATTTGGTATTCTTGTCAAAAATGCATAACTTCAACCTAATCATCAGAAAACCAGGAACTAACACGAGCAGAGACATTCTACAAAATAACTGATCAGCATAATAACTGACACTTCATATCAGAAGTGCCTTGCTCTTGAAAGACAAACAGAAACGGTCACAGGTTAGAGGAGACTAAGGGGACACAACAGTTAGATGGATGAGAGATCCTTAACCATAAAAAAGACACTAGGGGAAAATCTGTTGAGAGGTGAATAAGCTTGATAGTTTCCTTAATAGCACTGTAGCATTGTTGTAGAAATGTCAGTTTCCTGGGTCAGTTTCCTGTCAGTTTCCTAGTGCTGTGGTTTTGCAAGTTAAAATTAGGAGAACCTGGGTCAAAGGTATAGGTGCATGCTCTGTTCTATTCCTACAGCTTTTGTATAAGTCTAAAAGTATTAATAGGTTAAAAACACATACAAATAAAATAAGCACCTGGAATGAAGAGTAGCAGACAAGGACCCCAAGATAGAGGCTGTCCCCTGGGTCTCCGTAGACACTATTTCAAATATCTCAAAGACAAGGCTGCCTTCCTGCACCCTATTTCCTGCATTTGGAGGAGGGGCCATGGAATACCACGCCTGGTCAGCGTGATCAGAACATCACAGACCCACTCAACAGTTACTGGGCTCCCAGCCCATGCAGAGACCTTAGCAATGAAGGAGCAAGCATGTCCTCACGAGTTCACGGTCTTGAGGAAACAGATCTATAAACTAATAATAAGAACAATTTAACTATTTTAATAAATATTTAATGATCACTTATTCTGTATCCAGAAGCATTGCAAGATTAGAAAGAAAACATGACAGCATTTGTAACATCTTTCAGGCCTCATCAAACAAGAATGAGTTTGTAGAAAGAGGTCTTTTGGTTACAAATATAAAAAATCATCAAAATAGGGGCACCTGGGTGGCTCAGTCAGTTAAGCATCCAACTCTTGGTTTCAGGTCAGGTCACGATCTCACGGTTTGTGAGTTCAAACCCTACATCGGCTCTGTACTGACAGTGTGGAGCCTGCTTGGGATTCTCTCTCCCTCTCTCTCTGACCCTCCCCCACTCTTTCATGTTCTCTCTCAAAATAAAGAAATAAACTTTTTAAAAAATCATCAAAATAAATTAGCTTAAGCTGAGAGATTTCCTATAAAGATACAGTTAGTCTGATGGAACTTGTGTAAACTCTATTGAAACTAGAAGGTTGTTAGTCTCCTCTCTCTCTCTCCACCCCCTTTTGTCCCCTCTGTTTCCTCACCCTCCTCCAGCATTGCTGAGATCAAGATGGCCACACGCCTCTGCAAGAATGACAGGTTCAAGTTGCTAGCAACAGAGGGGTGGGGAGGTGCAAGAGGAGGTTTTAGTTTATAGAGTAAGGGTTCTGAGACACTGCCTCTCTGCAGCTTCTTGAGTCCTTGTTACTGTTTCTGTCTTCTTCAACTGTTTTTCTCAGAGAGCCTGAGTGTATGTGAGTATACAGTATGTATGTGTGAGTATATGTGAGTGAGAGTGTGAGTGTGTGCGTGTGTGTGTGCAGGTATGCATGTATGTGCTCATGGGAACAGGTGTCTGTTTCTCCCCCCACCCCCACCTCCCTTCTCCTTCCTCTACTGCTTTCTCTCCTCTCCTCTCTTTCTCCCTGCATTTTTCTCTTCTTCTCTACTTTCTGTGTATTCGCTCCCTTCTCCTCTTCACAGAACTTCTACTCTTCTGCACAAGTTTTTGATGTCTGTTTTCACTCGACCTCAGCTAAAACCTGGAAATGGCTTGCCTGTGGCACTGACTCTGGCCCCAACGCCACTTGACTTTTGAGTCCCAGGGTTCTATCACTCCTGATTACAGTTTCTGTGCCTCATCACCTAAACTTCTCCAGGGAGAAAAACAGAGTAGCCCAGCTTTAGTCAGACGTCCACCTTTGTTCCAAATTAGCAGTGGTCACAGAGACAGGTCACCCAGTACAAACACAGCCACCCAGGCCAACCATTCAAGGGAATTGTGGAGTAGGGAGAGGGTCTTCCAAAAATGGAGTGTGGGCCAATCAGTACACAAACATGTTCACCCCAACCCCCCATATAACCCCTCACTGAGGATAGTGCTTAAGAAAAGGTAACCTATCCAAGAGCTTCTGAAGGCAAAGAGAATGTCCCACTGCCTCCTCTCAGAATATAGCCCTTCAGCCCTTCTCATCAGCTGAAGAGAGTCCTTTTAATCACTTTCAATCACAAGGGGGACAAGGAGCCCCAAACTGTCACATAAAAAGAGACTGACCTCATGTTCTCACACTGTGCTTCCATATCCTCCAGGAGATGATGGACATTGTCAAAGCCATCTATGACATGATGGGGAAATACACATATCCCGTGCTCAGAGAAGACACTCCAAGGCAGCACGTGGATGTCTTCTTCCAAGTAAGTGCACACACGTCGTGCGCGAGCTTTAAGCCCAACTTAGACCAGCCAACCCACAAGCCTCTGAGCAAGTGGTGTGTGTCCAACTCTGTCCTATGCATTGTAGAAAAGAATTACAAAATGCGTCATCCTCAAGTAATAGATGATCTCATTAAGCAAGCAAGTATATACTAGACAATGGAACAGGGAAGTGTATTATGAAATAGAAATGCTACAGTACAGCTTCTACATTCCATACAAATTCTTGGTGGAGCAGAGTAACCAGAGAAGACGTCATTAAACACATTTGTGTAAGTGTTAAGCATTTATGTCTGGGGAGTAGTGGGAGAGAAGATTGGAAACAAGGAGGGGCTGGAGTGTGAGGTCTTGCATTGAAGAGTTCAGTCTTGCTTGGGTGACTATAGTTATTCCATGAGTGCAAGAGTAGCATGACCACAGTGGTGTTTTTGTAAGAAAGTAAGCGAGTGGTAGAGTATTGAAGAATGTCCCAGCTCATTCTAGTCTAATCCTCTCACTTCGCAGATGGGAAAAGCAGAGACTCAGAGAGGCTTAAAGACTCACTCGAGGTCACACAGTAAGTGACAGAGACAGAAGTCGAACCTCTCACATGCAGTGTTCTCTCTGCCAGGTGGACAGGCTGGGGGAGAGTCTGGGGAAGACATGTTAGGGTATCAGCAGAATAATCTGGTGATGAGGCAATGAGAGTCTGGAGCAAGTCTCTCAATTTTAAGGAAGCTTATGGGGCTCAAAATGCTGTAACCAGGGAGTTGGGTGGGATTGTCTGGCCAGTGAAAGACCACCTGAATTCTTGGGGCAAAGGTGGTTAACAAAGAGCAAGTTTTGGAATGCAGATTACCAGGTTCGTTAAAGTGCTTCCTGTTGTGTCTTCCAGAAAATGGACAAAAATAAAGATGGCATCGTGACTTTAGACGAATTTCTTGAGTCCTGTCAGGAGGTAAGGAGAGACCTCAGAGCACAAAACATACTAGATCCAGGAAAGAAAATCTGAGGCCTGGGGCCCTGCAGAAGGGAGAGCTGAGATATCCTCTCTACCTCAGGTAGAATTCCATTCCATCCCCTCCTAGAGCTGGGCTGTGGTTGGTCTTGGCTAAACACAGGCTGAGCCAGACAGCCTGAGAAGGATTGTGGGGGGATGTGAAAGGCCAAGGGGGTCTCTGTGAAACCACAGGCTTCTCAAATGGACAACACTCTGCTTTTTCAACAGGTTTCCAGCTCAGTGACCCACTCCTCAGACTACGAGGGGGTAGCTGGGAAAAAAATCTAAAGCTGTAATTCTCAAGCCATGGTGTTCCCCAAAATTGCCCAGATGATTCTGAAAATGAACACTAGATTGGGGGCGAGGCTCTAGAAATCTTTTTTTTAACACAAATGTCCTGGGGATCAATGCTGCTAAAACTTTACTGTGCAAACCAACCTCCTTGAGGATCTCCTTAAAATGCAGATTCTAATTCAGTAGGTCTGGAGCAGGGCTTGAGGCACTGCTTTTCTAACACTCACTCAGATGATCCTGATCCTGCGGGTCCTTGGAAGACATTTTCATTCTGCAAAAGGATGGACTAGCCCAGAGCCTCTGCCAGCAATTGAACTAGAAACAGTTGCTTTTATCTAGTTTAGAAAAATGCATTTCTATCCCCCATTTATTTCAGAAAAGTACAGTTACTCTGAGCTCACCCAGTAAGAACTGCAGATACACAAAGCAGAGGAGAAGTTATCAATACATACTGAGCACCTACCAAGTTTCAGGTATTTTGCATAAACCTCACAACCATCCTGAGAGGTGGTGCTGCTGTACGAGCTTAGCCTTGGTCATGATATTCAAAATGTTTTATAATGAGAGTGGACTGAGAACTAACCACTCTTAACTGACCTTGACCTCATGCTCAAGGAGCTGTGCCCTAGAGGGATCCTTCTAAGCTTGCCGACCCACTAGCTGATGGATCTTTGGGTGCTCCAGCGGTCCTGTGCCAGTTACCAGATAGCCAGAGGCACAGATGCTGGATGGAAGGCTCACTTACCAACAAGGATAGAAATATTTCAACATGTTAATCATCATGAACTGGGTGCACGGTAGTATTGATCATACACATTTTAAAGAAGAGAAAACTGAGACATTGCAAAGTTGAGAGATGTGGCTAAGGCCCAGTAGGTGACAGAGATGGAACTTGAACTCCATCATTCTGGTTTTTTTTTTTTCGTTAATGTTTATTTATTATTTTGAGAGGGAGAGAGAGACAGAGTGCGAGCAGGGGAGGGGCAGAGAGAGAGAGAGGGAGACACAGAATCCAAAGCAGGCTCCAGGCTCTGAGCTGTCGGCACAGGGCCCCCTGTGGGGCTCAAACCCATGAACTCTGAGGTCATGACCTGAGCCAAAGTCAGATGCTTAACCGACTGAGCCACCCAGGATCCCCTTGAACTTCATTCTAATTTTAAATCCTATGCCCTATTTAAGTGTGCTTTTTTGACTTTGCTTAACAGGTGAGTGAAATTTTCAAATTTGTTTAGTTTCTCACATTAGCAACCTCTACTGCTCTCCATTAATTCACTCATTTCTTGCTCACAACCCACCCATAGATATATATGGTGATGGATGCTACTCTAACATAAAGAAACTGAGGCACAAAGGGAGTAAGGTCACCCAGCTAGTAAATGACAGATCCACGATTTGAATTTAGACAGCCTGACTCCATAGACTTCTTTTAAAATTCTAGAAACTTTTAGGGGCACCTGAGTGGTTCGGTGAGTTAAGTGTCCAGCTTTTGATTTTGGCTCAAGTCATGATCTCTCCATTTGTGAGTTTGAGTCTCACATTAGGCTCTGTACTGACAGTGCAGAGAAAAGGATTCTTTCTCCTTCTCTCTCTGCCCCTTCCCTGCTCATGCTCTCTCTCTCAAAATAAATAAATAAACTTAAAAAAAAAAGGTCTAGCAACTTTTAAAAGATTTCAGACACCCAGAATCAACTTTTCTCTTTGTTGATTTTTTTTCTATTATAGGTATGCTTTCTACTTTATCATTTGTGCTGTAAATTATTTTCTTCCTTCTGTTTCATTTTAATTTAATTTTTAGGTTTTCTTTCTAGCTTTTTGAGATGGAGATTTAGATCATTTATTTTCAACCATTCTTTTCTAATACGTGCATACAGAGGGATAAAATTTCTTTTAACTACTGCTCTAGATCCCATAGATTATAATATGTCATATTTTCATTATATTTTAATTCAAAATATTTTCTTCTCTGACCCACGGACTTAGAAGTATGTTGTTTAATAGCCAAACATGTTCTACATTCAATACTTATTTCCTAGGGAATATACAATAGAAAAATGTAAATGTAAAATAGAGAACATATAATAGAGACATGCAAAAAGAAAATCAATAAAACCAAAATTTGCCGCTTTGAAAAAATAAATAAAACTGATAAATGCTTAGCAAGATTGATTCAAACAAAAAAGAAAGAACACTCAAGCTATCAATATCAGGAATGGAAAGGGTAACAACACTACAGGTTTTACAGACATCGTAAAGATAAAAGTCAGTTATTCAATAAATTTGGCAACATACGAAGTCTACAAACTCCTTACAAATATAATTTATCAAAACTAACACCAAAAGAAATAGAAAATCTGAATAGTCCTATGTATGTCAAAGAAATTGAATCCTTAATTTAAAACTTTCCCATAGGGGTGCCTGAGCGGCTTAGTCAGTTAAGCAACTGACTTAGGCTCAGGTCATGATCTCACGGTTTGTGAGTTCGAGTCCCATGTCAGGCTCTGTGCTGACAGCTCAGAGCCTAGAGCCTGATTCAGATTCTGTGTCTCCCTCTCTCTCTGCTCTTCCTCCTCTCTCTCTCTCTCTCTCTCTCTCTCTCTCTCTCTCTCCCTCTCTCTCTCTCTCTTTCTCTCAAAATTAAATAAACATTAAAAAATGCTTTAAAAAAATAAATAAAACTTTCCCATAAAGAAAATGGCAAACACAGATGTCTTACCTGGTAAATTCTTTCAAACTCTTTCTAAGGAAGAAAGGATGTTAATGTCATACAAATTCAGAGAATAGAGAAAGAAGAAAAAATTCTCAACTTGATTTATGAGGCTATCATAACCCTAATAAGAAAACATGACAAAGCTGTTACAAAGTGAGAAAATTTTCAGGCTAATATATTCCCTCTGGACACAGGTACAAAAAATCAAATCCTGTAATATGTTAAAAAAAAAAAAGAATAAATAGGGTTTATTACAGGAATTCTAGATTGGTTTAACATTCAAGAATTCATCAATATAATTAATGACATAATAGAATTTTTAAAATGCAATCACCTCAGTAGATGGAGAAAAATCATTTGATAAAATGCAGTTGCCCAGAGCTTCTAAAAAGAAGCAATACTCACTGTTTCACTGGATAATTTATTTCTTACAAATTTCTTAAGGCCAGAGAAGGTGCTTCTTGCCTTGAGTTGCTTACTTTCTGGGCCCCCACCCCCGTTTCTCATTCCCTTGCACAGTTCTTTCTGCACAAGAAACCCATGCTGGAGACTTGCTCACCGTAACAGAACTTCTCAGGGAAAATCCTCGGAGAGTTCTAACTGTCCTCTCTTTTCCCTTTCCTCCCTTCCCAGGATGACAACATCATGAGGTCCCTCCAGCTATTCCAAAATGTCATGTAACTGTGAACCCAGCCATCTGGCTCTCAGAGACGTTGTACTGAACAACCACTTCTTAACACCTTGCTCTGCCCTCGTTCTGATTTTACACACCGACTCTTGGGACAGAAACACCTTTTGCATTTTGAAAGAATTCTCCACTGGAGACTTTCTACGGAACCCAGCATCATATGGCTCAGTCTCTGATGGCCAGCTCTTCCTTCTCCGTCTTCTTGAGAGAGACAAGATGAAATTGGGTTTGTTTTGGAAGCATGCTCATTTCTTCACACTGCTGCCCTATGGAAGGTCCCTCTGCTTGAGCTTACAGTAGTGCACACTATTTTGCTTGCGTGCCCCAGCCCACTGCCTCCAGCAGACCTTGATGCATCTGGAAGCAAGATGACCTGAGCCAAATGCACACCATCCTCTGATGGCCTCCCAAACCAACGTGCCTGTTTCCCTTCTTTTGGTGGGAAGAATGAGCATTACACAGAACAGTATGAATCCGTATATGACTAGATTGGGAGAGCCAGCACCTAACATATGTAGGCTAGAACTGAATTCTTAAGCATGGCATTGTCTGGTGACACAAATTGCCCACATCCTTTGTTTCCAGAGGAAAGAACCAATAATTCTCTCTCACATTGGCATCTGTGCTGGTAATGCAAGTCCCTTAATGTGCCCAGGAAGAGAGCCAATGCCCAGTGGTCCATGCCCTCACTCCATCTCCTGCTAGAGCCCAGCACTGCATGCCCCTCCCAGAAAGCCCAGAATGCCTGAAAATTGCTGTAATTTTATACCATGTTCTAATCAATAAACAGAACTATTTCTTACACTCTTAATCTTCATTTCTTTCATGACTCCATTGGACAGGAGAGGTAAGCTGTGAGAAGGGAAGGCTAGTCCATTCATTGGCATCCAGGTATTAGTACTTGCTTTGTGCCAGGCCCAGTGCCACTCAGGGTGCCATCCTCCCCTGACCCCAAGCAAATATCCCACTTAAAAGCAAATACTGTGACTAGAAGCAAATACCTCTTTGAGATGACATGCTTCACAACACCTTCCTTCCAACAAGATTGTCACTCTCAAGACCCTCTGGTGTAGAAAGTCTGGCGTCTCATGTGGTACGGTGGGGGATACAGAGGTGAAGAGGTGGCCGGAACTGCCTGCTGAGGGGCTTGGAGTCCAAGGGTTGATGAAGTGGCTTCAGCCTATCAGCAACAAATTATTACTTATGCTGGACACCATGTCTTAGATTCCCCATTTGACATCACTTTAAAAAGATTTAGAGCTAACCATGGCATTCTTGGAAGGAAAGCAATTTGCTGAACCCCTAGTATGTGCCAGGTGCTGACTAGGGGCTCACATACGTTACCTCATTTTATGCTCATGTAGAGCATTCTGGGAGATAGAGTCTTCATTTTACTGGTTTGGACACTGAAACTCAGAGGTAAAGGGACCTACCTAGGGTAGCACAGCTCCATAGAGATTAAACTCTTCCCACTCTGTAATAGAGCCTTCCTGCTAGGGAAACTGGCTCCCTGCAAGGAACTGAAGGTACCACACAAATGCCTCTTTCATCTGGAGCCCATTCAAAGAGGCATGGGTATTCTTTGAATCCAAATAGCAGATGAAGAAACGGATACCGTAAAGGGGAGAAAGCCTTTAGGTGCCCATGGATCACCAGCGAGAGCAGGCCACCACATGTCATACGTGCATGACATACTCCCAATATGATTGCCACTGGCTCCTGCCACTCATGGCTGGAAATTGTAGAAGATGCAGCTCTGTTTCTCCAGGCTTCCTGGGTGCTGCGATGGGGTCATCGAGGGCTGCTAGACATGTAGCCAGCCCCTAGCCAGGCATACATACACTTAGGCCCAAGCAGAGGACCTGTACTTGTTGGCCCTACCCATGAGGGGTCTGAACCTGCATCATGAGGCTATACAATGTCTAGGCCCTGGTTCTCCACTTTGGCTAAACATCACAATCACCTGGGGAACTTTGAAAAATGCCAGGGGCCAGGCACCACCTCAGACCAATTAAAGTAGAATCTCTACAGGTGAGGCCTAGGCATCGGGATTCTTTAGAATCTGCTCAGGTGATTGCAATGTGTATCCAGAGCTAAGATGGGGAACTGACCAAATTCAGTGCTAAGAATGGAACACATGATCTGAGCCATCCCCCTAGCCATAATGATTGGTGCAGGGATTGGCTTGATACCTAAGCCAGCCCAAAACAGCATGAATCACAAGATTTGTGCTGGGAACAAGGGGCAAAGATGGTCTCTCTTCTACTGGGCATACATGAGATAGCATGCACTCTTAGGACATTTTGGTAGTGATTTAGGAGTTCTGAGGGATTATCCAATAACCAAGGAGCAGATAAACCAGAATCACAGAAAGCAAGGCAGAGATGTTTAAACAAAGCAAAACACACCAGAAACTGAAACCTTGATTAGATCACTGAGCTGCTGGATCAAGCTGGACCTGAAGCTAGGAACACCTCTGATCTTTTCAGATGCCTGTGTTTGATGCCTATATAATATCTAAGCCAGTTTATCTTTACTCTGGCTGCATATAAGAATCACTTGGGGAGCAGAGAAGGAGAAGTTTTTAAAGTGCTAAGGCAGGGGGCCTTGTCCCAGATTAACTGAATAAGAACCTCTACAGGTAGAGCCCTGAGCATCACTCTGCTTTAAAAGCTCTCCAGGTGATTCCAGTGCATACCTAGGGCCAAGAGCCCATGCAATAAAGAGTGGAAGGGCTGGTGCTCTTCTCCCTGTGCTGGCCAGAGCACAAGAAACACAATTCAGTCCTAAGCACCAAACTCTAAGAGGAAAATCAGCATCTGGAGATATTCAGAAACAAAACGGGCTATTGGAGAAACAAAGTTCTCTGCTTGGAACACCCAGCTCCAACTTGTCCTTCTGGAGGGATCCTACTCCTCCTGAATCGTCTAACAAATTGCCACCATTTGCCAGCAATTGTGCCTGTGGTGGGTACTGTGGCTGTCTTACCCAGACACCCTTGACACTCACCATTACCTCACAGTTGGATTCAAATGTGCCACCTGGAAATGCTTGTGACTTTTGTTTATAACTGTGACTGTCACAAATAGACCCTGACCAGGACGTCTGCACTCTGCCTATGAGCAGGGCAGGCCAGAAGAACCAGGTAGTTAACACCTCCCTGGAGCAGCCCTTAACCAATGGCTGACAAGAGTTGGTGTATAAATACCCCAGACCCATCTCCTTTCCATAGGAAGTACTCCAGGGTGACTTCTATACTGTCTCCCAGACTTCCCCAGTAGCATTGAGCCCTAATAGCCCACAGCAATAATGTGCTCAACAGTGGACCCCTTACTGAACCTCCTTCCGTCCCCTCTCTCATTCCCTATACTTCCCTACCATTGCTTCCTGGGATCCCCTCCCAGATCAACCACTGAACCCCTCATCCATGTGTCAGTGTTGGCTTCTAACCTAAAATGATGAGTAAAGCTAACCTAAAGTGATGAACAGGACAGATAAGTGACCTGCTCTTGTGAATCTTGTATCTCGCAGGAGTAAATAGACAATAGATCATATGTTTTCAGTAAAGTGACATGAAGAGAATACAAGTATGACACGGTAGAGAGTGACTGGGGTGGCAAGGGAGGCTATTCCAGACAGGGTGGGGAGGGAAGGCTCCTCTGAGTGGAGTTTGATGTGGTCTTGGGTGGACCAGGGGTGGGAAGGATCACCAAGCAGTTACAGAAAATCTGGGCCTAAGCTTGCTATCTTTTCTTGCTCAGGCATTCAAGAGGATATCCCTTGTTCCAATAAGGAAATCATGTCTGGAAATATAGAATCTCACCACAACCCGCCCTATGGTTCTCTAACATCATATTTCTGAGCAAATCCTCTGAGCAGAGGCCAGTGAGGCCACTTGGAGAGTCTCCTAGGAGGAAGTGTAGATGAGACTGATGGCCACTGTTCGGTGCCAGGTTGTCTATGGATGATATCTTACTTGAATCTCACAACAACTCTGTGAGATAGGTATTCTAGGCACCTGCTTTTCAGATGAAGAAATGATGCCCAAGACACAGAGGGACCTCTCCACATGGCTGAAAATGGGCTTAAAGAATTCCATGCTCCAAAATGTATGCCCAGCTCCATTTCTCAGAAAGCATGAAGACCATTCCCCACCTATTCCTAAAACTAGCTCTAATGATATACAAACACCAGAAGGTGTTGGAAAGCAGCTGCCATGAATCCATTAGTAAAAAGCAATGAAAACAAGTCCATGAATTCAAGCCAAATTACTCTTCCTCTATAGGGAATAATGCCAAGGACATGTGCAAAGATGCCCATATGGTTTCTCAGAAGAGCTGAAATTAGCATGTCCCTCCACATCAAAATAAAGCCCAATCTAAGTCCCAGACCTCCACAAGCTCTGTACTCCAGTCCAGTGACTGCCTGGAGACCAAAAAAATCCAGATCTTGAAGATCAGGGAGAAACCTTAGGGCAGCCAGCCCCACTGAGTGGACTTTCAAGGACCCATGAAACCCTCGGAGCTGACTGCACTCTCAGTTCTAGAAATGGAACACTTGACCTATACTAAGCCAATCATTTTCTCCCATGCCCCTGGCCATAGCAACTTGTCCAGGGGTAGCTTAAGACCTCAGCCAATGCAAGCTGCATGACTTTTAGAGTTATTGCTGAAAAGAATGAAACAAAGTCACTCTTCCCTGTTGGACATGAATGAATAAGCACATAGCCCTAGCACATACAGGCAATCATTTTGCAACCTACAGGGAAACCAATCTACAGATGAACATCATACCACAGAAATCAAGGCAGAGAGATGAAACAAATGATTTTTTGGAACTGCTGGATCAAACTTCACCTGAAGCTACACGTACCTCTAGCGGTTTGTGTTGCATACATCGATAAATTCATTTTTTATTATTTAAAGCAGTTTGGAATTTAAAGCAGTTCGGAAAGCAGTCACTTTCTGAAACTTGTGACTTGGCACATGCTAAC